ATTTTGTTTTTTGATGTTTCTGGATTTCAACTTTCTGCTCGAACTCCATACAGAACTGCCTTTGAAACTGTATTATTGCTTACAAAAGTAGGTTTTCTGTTGCTCTTTTACTGCATTCTACATCTGGTCTAATATATAGATACAAAAGACTATATGAAATAACAATAATTTTAATAAAATATATTCCACCTTTACTGTTTGAAGCTTTGATGATAAAGAATTATCTAAACTTGCTGTCTCTAGTTCTTCAGAATTAACCTGCTCCTCAAACTATTGCAACCAATAAAGCCTTCTTTATTGCACACGTCTCAAACCTTATCTTGCTTGAACTTTTATTCTTACTTCTTAGACTATTTCTCAGTCTACTTTTTATACTCCTTCCTGTTTATTTTTTTAAATATATTTTTATTGATTTCAGAGAGGAAGGGAGAGGGACAGGGAGATAGAAACATCAATGATGAGAGAGAATCATTGATTGGCTGCCTCCTGCACACCCCACACAGGATTGAGCCTACAACCCAGGCATATCCCCTGAACCATGACCTCCTGGTTCATAGGTTGATGCTCAACCACTGAGCCACCCTGTCTGGGCTTGTTTATTCTTTAACCAGCATTCAGTTAAGAAAATATGCTGATGACTGTCAAATCTGTATCTGATCCCCAAATCCTTTGGTTAAGCGTTAGACCAGCTGCCTCTTGGACATCTTTGATTGCATATCCCATTAACTTCTCAAACTTAATATGTATAAACTGACCCTTTTTCCCCCTTTTAATTCTCCTGCCTCCTCCAGAACTTTACTGAGTATGTAAGCAGGAAACCTGGATGGTGGTCTTAATTCTATCTTTCTCACCACCTGTACCAAGCCCTGTCAGTTTTATATCCTAAATTATTCTGCAGTCATCTGCTTGTTTTCATCCACACTGTTTTAATCATCAACCCCTCTCATTAGAATGTTGTAAGGCCCTCCTATCTGGTCTCTTTGCTTCCAGTCTCATTTCCCTGCAATCCACTTTTTTATGAGGCAGCTCGAGTGAGCTTTGTACAAGAACCAACCTGATGTTTGTTCTCTGCTTAAAATACTTCGATAGTGCCTCATTGCTATTAGATTAAGATCCAACCTGACCGTGGTGTATGAGGTCTGTCTGGTAAGGTTGGACTCCTTACCTAGCAGTCTATCTTTCTCTGCCTGCCCCTCTTCCATTCTATATCCAGCCCTATGATTTCTCTGTAACACTATGTGATGTTTCTTATCTCCAGGACTTTATATATTCCATTTCCTTTGCCACTTTTTGCCTATTTTGAATAATAGTGCTGTAAACATTTGTGTACAGGTTTTTGTATGGACATGCCTTTATTTCTTTTGAGTATATGCTTAGGAGTGGAATTGCTAGATGAATGTTAATTCTCTGTTTAACATTTTGAGGAACTACTAAACTGGTTTCTAGAGTGGCTGCACCATTACACCATTTTACAGTTCTACTTGTAATATATGAGGTTTCTACTTTTCCACATTAATATCTACACTTAGATATTAATTGTTATTGTCTCTTTATTTTAGCCACCCTAGTAGGAATGAAGTGGTATTTCATTTTGGTTTTGATTTACATTTCTCTAGTGATTGAGGATGTTGATCGTCTTTTCATGTGCTTATTAGCCATTTGTTGTCTTTAGAGAAACGCCTATTCAGACTTTGTGCATTTTTTAATTGGGGTTTTTTGTCTTTTTAGTGTTGAGTTGTAACACTAAATTTTTGTGTTGAGTTGTAACATTATATTTTTGATACAAGTCCCTTATCAGATACACGATTTGCAAATGTTTTCTCCTGTTCTACCAGTTGCCGTTTCACTTTCTTATGGTATGTTTTGAAATACAGAATTTTAAATTTTAATTAAGTCTCATTTGTCTATTTTTTCTTTTCCTAATGCTTCTTGGTGTCATAGCTAAAAAACTATTGCCTAATTCCTAGTCATGAATTTTTTTTCTATTCTAAATTTTTTCTGTATGCTTAATAGAATTCCAGATATTTGTAATTGGCTCAAGACACAAATCACAGCTGTCTCTAGGATGTTATGTAAGCCAAAATAAGTTGACACATGACCTATTAAACATTTTCTGAGTTTCCTTTGTTAATTTTGTGGTGGTTGGGATTTATTGCGTTTCAGAGATGTGACTAGGCTCTAGATTACATAGGCCCGTGGTCGGCAAACTGCGGCTCGCGAGCCACATGTGGCTCTTTGGCCCCTTGAGTGTAGCTCTTCCTGAGCCTTAGGAGTACCCTAATTAATAACAATGTACCTACCTATATAGTTTAAGTTTAAAAAATTTGGCTCTCAAAAGAAATTTCAATCGTTTTACTGTTGATATTTGGCTCTGTTGACTAATGAGTTTGCCAACCACTGACCTAGGCCTACAAGGTAAAGAAAGATATTGGCAAACAGGTAACCTATATACTAGTAGATTATTTTAACAAAATTATTTGGTCTTTCTTTTTTGATTTAAAGGAGTTGGAGTTGTATGATGAGGAAGTTCGAGCAAAACCTGCACTCCTGGCAGTAAATAAAATGGACTTGCCAGATGCCCAAAATAAATTCCATGAACTGATGAACCAACTCCAGAATCCTAAAGGTAAAACTGACTCATTCATTTAATTACAGTGTAATGAGTACCTGATTTGTGCCAAGTGATACAGTCAGTGGAAAAGAAAACTGACAGTTACTACTCTTAAAAAAAGTATGTTTGATGACAGAACCCGTACCATATGAAACATTTGCATAACATTATAATGGAATACGCACCAAGTTTCAGAATGTGTGATGTTCTGAATGAAAGGAGACAAAGAAGAAAAAGATCATGTGAGCTGAAAAGGTTAGGCTTCATGAAGAAGTAAAACTTAAACTGGGTCCTTACTAAGTTATTTGGATCAGAAGAGGAAAAAGTCAGCATCTTCCTATAAAGTCTTTCCCCTTAACATGTTTCTCAGGTTCTAGAACTCTATTCCCCTAGTACACCGTAAATTTAAAACAGCTAATAGTTCTAAAGACATACTTTATGTGTCTGCAGTGTCAGCTCTATGGGTCTTCAAAGAAGAACTTGAGTACATGTCTATGTACAGAAAAATAGATGCTGTTACTCCAAAAGATTTATTTGTTGGAAATTTCTTTCTAAATGGATCACTTTGTATAAAGGAACTTAAAGGGTTTCTCTAATCTGGCTGGTGTTGCTCAGTGGTTGAGTGTCAACCTATGAGCCAGGAAATTGTGGTTGGATTCCAGGTCAGGGCACGTGCCTGGGTTGTGGACTCGATCCCCAGGAGGGGGCATGTAGGAGGCGGCCGATCGATGATTCTCTCTCATCATTGATGCTTCTATTTCTCTCTCCCTCTCCTTTACCCTGAAATCAATAAAAACATATTTTAAAAAATAAATATAAAGGGACTCTCCATTGTCTTGAATGTTGAACTTTGCAGAACTCTCTACCCTACAGTGACGATGCTTTCGTTTTACTGAGTCTAGAAGAGAACTTCTTCACAAACGAGGAAATGTCGGGAGGATAGCAAGTAGCTAACGTGTTTTTAAATAGTACTGATTTCTCTGTTTTTATCCCTGGGGAAAAGAAATTATTATTAGGAATAGCAGTCGACACCAGAAGATTCTTTTTCTGCTCAAAAATATTTCCCTGGAGCAACTTACATATTGAAGCTGTCCTTGAGTTACTTTTGGGATATAAATATTCCCTGGAATTAGTATATAGTCTTTATTCCTTCATGTCATTTGCTTTGTGAGATCATTAGATCTGTTTGCTAGATGATCTTACAGAAGGCATTTTCAGAGGAGGTACCAGAAGAGAAGGTAACTCCAGAGTTTGTGGCTGTTTTGAACCATTAAAAACAAATTTCTGAGTTTTACCTCTCTGGACTTCTTGAGGGCAAATGAATCTCAGAAACTAAGCTCCCTGTTGGCTTGTCCATTCTCTTTCAATCCAGCCTTTGCAGTTCATGTCAGTATTGACACATCCCATTGTATGCCACCCCTCCTCCCTTTGCCTTGGTGGTCTGGGAGAGGGAAAAGTAATAGAACATCTTTCAGCTACTGTGGAGTGATAAGAGTAGACGCATCTGAAATGCTCTCCCCTTAAATTACCCCCACATCTTTTTCAATTTTAATATGGCTCCTTGTACCAGTGCCTATACTTTAGGGCAGTTAAAGGCCATCCATGTATGGAGGCAAGCTAGCGTATCCCAAATCATAAATTATGTTATTTTTATAGAAAGGTTCTTTCAGAGAATCTACATAGCCTCACTTTAGCAAACACCTCCTCCCCCAAAGCAGCTTGCTTCTATAAGTAAATTATCTTCTGTGATTCTTTTATTTATACTTAATTTGGTTGAAAATATCTTAATTCAACAAATATCTCCCATGTGTCAAGAACCTTACCATTGTCAATAGTAAAAACCAAGGTTTCTGGAAGCATATTAGAAAGAGAAGGAAAAAGGAATTAAAAATGCTGTTTTCGGTTTCTTGGTTCACAAATCAAACCTTTAACATAGTTCTGACTTACTTCAAAGACAATGAAAATCAGCATAGTTTTATGTTTTTTTTTGTTTCAGATTTTCTGCATTTATTTCAAAGTCAGATGATTCCAGAGAGGACAATGGAGTTCGAACATATCATCCCCATCTCTGCAATTACGGGAGAAGGAATTGATGAATTAAAGAACTGTATAAGGAAATCTCTGGATGAACATGCAGACCGGGAAAATGATGCGTATCATAAGAAACAGTTGCTTAATTTACAGATTTCTAATACAGTATCTCATAGTGAGCCACTCTCAAGGAATGCTGTTACTAGTTCCAGAATGGATACAATTTAAATCCATTAAAAATGAACATGAAATTGTGTTCGTTTGAAAACTTTTCCACAGAGTATTATGTATTCCACATTTATTATGAACCTTCTGATATATGCGCCATCATTTGGGAACCATATCTTTTTAAGTTGTTTATAGTTAAGTGTATTAATAGTAAAAAAAAATAAAAGAAAAAGTGAAAGCTGAAAATGACAGTTTATAGTTTTATAGCCAATCTACCTAAAATAAAATCCTCTGATATTTCTGTACTTACAATGTCTCAAGTGAGATCATTTTTAAAAAATAGATGAAAGGATTTCTCAAATATTATTAAAGTGAGCAACTAGGTATTTGTTTTGAGTCTGTCATGTACTTGGTTCAATTATGAAGAGTTCTCATTTTAAGAAAATCTAAAAACCCTAAATTTGAACATAATGTTTGGTGATAACAAAGATCACTGATAATATTTAACAGATAGCAACAAATAGATTTCAGCTTTTGGAAATTTTTCCTTTTATTTTAAACGTATTTATTTATTTTATTGATTGCAGAGAGAGGGAGAATCATAGATTGGCTGCCTCCACTGGGGATCAAACTTGCAAACCGAGCATGTGCCCTGACTGGGAATTGAACTGGTGACCTCTTGGTTCCTGGGTCAGTTCTCAGCCACTGAGCCATGCACTGGGCTTAAACTTATTTTTTATTGTTGGAAGTATTACAGATGTCTCCCATTTTATACCTCCACCCAGCTTCTGTCCCACCCCAGGCCTTCACTGCACTGTTGGCTGTGTCCAGGGGCTGTGCATATATACATATAAGTTCTTTGGTTAATCTCTTCCCACTGCCCCTACCTGCCTTCCCTTGTCAATCCATTCCATGCTTACATGTCTCTGGACTTAATTTTTGTTCATCAGTTTATTTTATTAGATTCCATATATACTAGTAAGTGAGATCATGTGCTATTTGTCTTTTGCTGACTTGCTTACTTCATAATTTACCATAATAATTTACAGGTCCATTCATGCTGTCTCAGAGGGTAAGAGATCATTAATTTTTTACAGCTGTATAATATTGCATTGTGTAAATGTACTGTAGCTTTTTTATCCACTCATCTATAGCACTTCGGCTATTTCCAGATCTTAGCTATTGTAAATAACGCTGCTGTGAATATAGGTGTGCATATATTCTTTCTGATTGGTGTTCCATGATATATTCCCAGGAGTGGGATTGCTAGGTCAAATGGCAGTTCCATATTTAGTTTTTTTTAGGAAATTCCATACTATTTTCCACAGTGGCTGCACCAGTCTGCATTACCACCTGCGGTGTACTAGGGCTCCTTTTTCTCCATATCCTCGCCAGCACTTACTGTTTGAACATTTTCTTTTTAAGTATAAGAGTATTTTTTCTTACTTTGGAGCCGATTGGTGTATGACTCATTTTTTTATGGCCTCGTCTTTTTCATTACTTTCACATTTTAGTAAAGAGAAAATAAAATAGGAAGTGCAAACTCTAATATTATCAATCATAAATGTATTCTTCAGGTTATAACTTCTGATTTTCAAAAATATTTATAAATTGAACATTTTTCTTAATGAGTTGTATTGTAAAATATACATGTTCATTGTAAAATATAAAATTTAACCAGTGTAGCCTGGCTGGCGTGGCTCAGTGGTTGTGTCGACCACTATGATAGCCAATAAATTGAAATCCTGTCTTAGTGAATAGAATATAAAGATTCAAAAGTCTTATATAAGACTGATTAGATTAAAAAATGATTACACACAATGGAAAGGTAAATGTGGCAAATGTTGATAATTGTTGAATATAGAAGGTAAGTAAGTATATGAGTGTTCTTTGTACTATTCAAATTCTCTGTACCTTTGAACATTTTCAAAATAAATTATAGAGTTTGAGCTCTTTTTCACTTGGTGCCTTGGTAAATACTTGGAGGGGAAAAACGTATTTAAAGATGTTTTGCTAACCTTACAAATAAATCACATTTAGTCGGAAATAGTTACGTGGGTATCCAACTCAAACTACCTTTAGGTTGTTTTTGTTTTTTTTTTCGTTTTAGGTTTATTATTTTTGTGTGTGTTTCTAAGACTTACAACCCAAATCTGGACCGAACTGAAGGTGGGAGGAATAGGGTAGGTGGGAGGAAGGCGAGGGAGGTGGCCTCAGGATGTCGCTGCGGCTGGCCGCCCAGTGGATTCTGGGAATTGTAGTCTCCCAGGGCACTCCTGGTGAGGGCATCGGGAGAATCTGAGCAGGCTCCCAGAAGCCTCCGGGGCGCTCGCTGGAAACGCACTTCCTGGGACGCTGAGAGGGAGATTCTTTGCGAGGCTCTTCGGTGTGGGCGAGTGAAATGCCCTGGATGTGAGACCCAGGTAGGTGTGGCGACGAATGGTCCGATTTCTGGGTCTTCTGCAAATGTGGTTGAGGGTTTTGTGTAAAATTGGGAGTAACTCACAGGGAATCAGGGACATTGAAAAATGTTGACCACATCTGTGGGCATGAAAATCGAGTGAGGAGAGGTATTGGATAGAGCTTTAAAAATGCATTTCGTACCCAGGAGTACGGAGATGTCGGAGTGTCTTGCGGGAGCAGCGCGGGCTCGCGGCTTGGCCCCGGCGGTGCCCGAGCATCTGTAGGTGCTATTTTTGACTCCCCAGCGGCTGCTGGTTGTGTAACGACGACCTGCTCGCGGTGCAGCCCACTCACTGTTGCGGGGATGGGCGTGTGCTGAGAGCGGTGCGGCGTCACTGCTGCGGTCTCCCCATTGGCTCTGGAAGCTGTTCTTCTTCGCTTTTCTTTCTGCCAGCTCCGGGGTTCTTCGGGGCGCAGCTCGGGGGAGCGAAAGGGGTGGGGAGGGTGTAGGGCCCTGGAGGCTTGTTTGCTCTTCTCTGAAGCCCACGTTCTGTCGCAGCCCAGACGTGGTGACCGCACTTAAAAATGATTGCTCAGGGATTCCGGGGTGTGTTTTTATTGTAAAATGATCTCCTTTGACGTCGGGGTGAGCAATTATTCTTGCTACCAACTCAAGAAACATGCATTTAGAAAATTAAATGATTGAAATCTCTTCTGTGCAGGCTGCGTGGGACAACATTCTATGTAATGATCATAATCGGGCTAGTGATAAACTCTTACTGAACTCGGGAAGTTATCGGGCATTTACAAGTTTTCATTCTCATCCTCCCTGTTGAGGTAAATAGTATTTGAAAAGGAAATTGCTGAGGCTCAAGAAAGATATATGGAAACATTTCAACGGCAGGTTGAGCCATTGGTGGAACTGTAAACTCAAAAAAAGTGTTCGAGTTGCAGATTTTAGGAAGCACAATGCAGATCAGCTTTGCCTAGTCTTGTCAGTAGCCATTAAAAAGGCATAAAAGAAACAATTTATTTTTTACTTTTATTGATATCAGAGAGGGAGAGAGAGAAAGAAACATCAGTGATGAGAGGGAAATATTGATTGGCTGCCTCCTGCGTTCCCCAATCCCCTAACTCAGGCCTGTGCCCTGGCCCGGAATGACCACCTGGTTCATGAGTCGGTGCTCAGCCACTGAGCCACGCAGGTGGGGCTTAATGAATTTCTTTTACTTTTCAGACAACTAACTGCACAGTATTTCCTCAGCCCTCTTTATTCTTTCACTATAGTTATGAAAATGATCTCTAAAAATTTATCAGTGTTGATAATTGATTGCCATGACAATAAAGTGATTTTCATCCTTATTTCTCCTGTCTTTGCAGAATTAATTTTTCTTTTGTATGTTACATATGTGTGAGTTTAAGAATAAACTGCCTTTAAAAAAAACTTACTGCCCTCCTTTTCTGATATAACATTTTATTGTTTAGATGATTGATAATTATTTTTCCTAATTCCATGTGAATCCAGTTGAGTTTTTAAAAGATATTGTATTAACTTGGGGCATTTTTCCTATTCCTTTAGGCCAAGATCATTTCTACTCTTTGTTCAGATGTGCATATATTCCAAATTGATTAAAGTTGTTTTAGAACTATCAAGTACCTCAAAGAGTAAGTACTTCCTTTGATTATATTTCTCTTCTTTTTTGCTACTATATATCCAATGGCATTTTTCTCTTGTTCATCAAAATATAGGACAGACCTCCCTTGTGAGTGCAATGATGGGGGAACTACAAGTTTCTAAGAAAACCCAAATTAGTAGAAAAGATTGCAACTGTAACCATCAAGAATTAATGTAGCTATATGTGTTCTCATATAGCTATTCCTTAGACTGGTCCCTGAAAAAATATGTAGTGATGAGTCTGAATTTCTTAGAGCTCTTAGCTGTCTTTGATAACTTTTTATTGTGTACCAAATTTTATTCATCTTCTCTGAAAGTCACTGTGGAACAGATAGCTAAATAACAAATATAAAGTAGTTGTTTTGAAACAATCCTTATTTGATTTGCTCAGTACTCCAAAGAGAATGCTGTCATTATTGTTATATGGCTACAATAATCTGTGAATGTTTGCTGATAGTTTGGAAGAAAAGTATGTTTCTAGCTAAAGAAAGTAAGTAATCCTACTAATAATCATTGCAAATTTAAATTGCCGACCATATTTTTTACAAAGGGCTTTACTATTCATGATCTTGCAACTACCTTGGGGGACATTTTACCTCAAATGAGTATTTGAGGTTCAAAGGACATAGATATCTTGTCCAGTTTGTAGACAATGGTAGCTTTTGATTGGTATTTGGATCTTTGATCCCCTGGGCTGCAATGCCAAGCTGCCTCTCAGATGGCAACAACAAGCCCACACGTGTGTGTGTGTGTGTGTGTGTGTATGTGTGTGTGTGTGTGTGTCCATTCCTAGCCCATTGGGCTATCTCCCAGCTAGTGTTCATGAGTGCTTCTCAGATTTGTTAAAGTGTGTTCTTTGCTTTACATATTTTCCACAATCCCTAATAAGGGCTTTTCATATGGCAAAAAGAGCTTTATTTTTCCCCCATTGCTATTTTAAAAAGAAAATACAAATACAAATATAATAAATTATTTAGCTTTGTCAAGCAAACATTAATTTGATATATTAACCACTCTTAATGAAGAGGGGTATATCCAATGCGTAACATACTTATTAAGTTGAAAACATAAACAACACACACACACAGTCATCATTCACTGACTCCCTAACCACTGTGTAACCTAATCAGTGTTGCCAAACTTAGATATTTATAGGAGCATAGTTTGTATGTAAATACCTGGGAATGGCCTCATTTTTCTTGGGAAGTTTCTAGGGGAAGAAAATGAACTTTTGTTTGTAAAAAATGAGAGAGGCTTTGCCAATAAAGAGTGGAAAGCCAGGACACAGTCTAGAACAGCCGTGGGCAAACTACAGCCCGCGGGCCGGATCCGGCCCCTTTGAAATGAATAAAACTTAAAAAAAAAAAGACCGTACCCTTTTATGTAATGATCTTTACTTTGAATTTATATTAGTTCACACAAACACTCCATCCATGCTTTTGTTCCGGCCCTCCGGTCCAGTTTAAGAACCCATTGTGGCCCTCGAGTCAAAAAGTTTGCCCACCCCTGGTCTAGAAGCAGCTTGGAGGCTTCAGAACACAGGATATGAATGAGTGGGATTGTTGTTAATAGAGCTAAGTTATAGTTTCTCTCTGTATCCTGACCATACTCAGATGGACCTTTCATTTGTTTGCTTGTTCATTCATGTAACAATAATTGAGTGCCTTCTATGAGCCAGTGTTGGACACAGTGAATAAAACAGAAGGCTCTCTGTCCTCCTGGAATTCACAGTATGTTGGGAAAGATAAATACTGAACAAGGAATTAATAAGCACAGTTGCTTATAAAGAAAATGTACAAAGGTGCTTCCAGAGCATCTGAGCAGGGGCATGGGGAAGATTAAAGATAAGGGAGGGAGGATGGGTGAGGGCTAGGAAACTAAGAAAGAATAAGATGAGATTAAGGAAGCTCTAGGAGAAAGAATAGCATGAGGAAAAGACCTTAGCCAAATTAAAAAGTGGAAAATTTGAGAAGTGAAAAGAAAAGCAGTATCGCTATATAGACGATGAAAAGATAGTGTGTAAGGTGGGAGAGTGACACTTAAGGAGATTGAGAATTTGGCAGGAACCAGATGGTGGGATCTGAAAATTTAAAACCTTTATTCTGAGTGAAATAGGAAGTAACTGAGTGGTAAGAAATGTAGTGAAATGATCAGATTTGCATTTGAAAAGAATTATTCTTGATTCAAAATTAGTTGGTGCACAGCACAAAAGTGGAGATCTTTTTACCCTCAGTACAAACAAATCTTCACCCGAGAGTCAGCATTATCTTTCCATTTTAAATCACTAAACACATTCTTTCTCCAAACTATCCCTATAAAGTGTTACTTCATCCCCCTAGTGCAGTGGTCGGCAAACTGTGGCTCGGCAAACTGAGGCTCACAAGCCACATGTGGCTCTTTGGCCCCTTGAGTGTGGCTCTTCCACAAAATACCGACTTCTGCGCATGGACCACGAAGTTTCAGAAGTTTCAATCGCACTGTACGTGTGCGCCCGCACATGGTATTTTGTGGAAGAGCCACACTCAAGGCGCCAAAGAGCTGCATGTGGCTCGTGAGCCGCAGTTTGCCGGCCACTGCTCTAGTGGGATATACATCAAATCATATGTACATGGAGTTAAGAATGGCATAAAAGGTAAAGTGGCCAAAGAAAGGTACAAAGAGCAAGGACATTAATTCCAGCACTGAGGTTGAAATTCAGCTAAAGAATTGAGGTTAATAGTTTTTTCCTTCTGAAAAATGCTGTATCCTTGTTGGCTTTGTACATAGGACTTTTAGGTAATCTATGATCTTAGCTAAGAATGCTTCAGCAAAAGCAAGTGCAGGGGACTGGTATATCACTTGTATTGATCTGATGCAGGATACATTTGAACACACTTTATACTGAAATAAATATTGACCCACCTCTGTTCATTAGTGTCATTTGATAGCCTGTACACTAAGAAATACAGGACTTTATTTATTAATCATAAACTCGTTCTTCCTGACTGTTTCTCATTCCATTTGCATTGTAGGAACCAGTGGTACAGGGCAGTTTGGAGAAATCTCAGTTAACATTGATACTCCAAGTATCTGAACCCTGCTTCTGAAAGCAAGGAATTGTGATCGCGTTAGGACTCTGACTAGGTTATCTGAAGGAGTTCTAAAGCTTTGAAAGAAACAGAGGGATCCTTTTTCTTACATCTTCACAACTTTGATCAAATCATCATCGTCTTTCATTGCTCAGTCTTTTCCCAGCCCTAGATAATACATTTTTATAAACACACTAAAGGCCCAAAGCATGAAATTCGTGCAAGGGCCTTGACCCCAGCGCCCACCTGCCACCGCCACCTTGGCCAGGGGCCTCTGCCATAGCCTCCGCTCACTGCTCACTGCGGCTTTGTCTGGAAGGAATGACGCCTGGAAGGACGTCCAGTCTAATTAGCATGTTATGCTTTTATTATTATAGATACCTTATTGGTTCACTTTACTTAATACCTAATAATAAGCGCTTAGTACAGTGATGGCGATCCTTTTGAGCTCAGCGTGTCAGCATTTTGAAAAACCCTAACTTAACTCTGGTGCCGTGTCACATATAGACATTTTTTGATATTTGCAACCATAGTAAAACAAAGACTTATATTTTTGATATTTATTTTATATATTTAAATGCCATTTAACAAAGAAAAATCAACCAAAAAAATGAGTTTGCGTGTCACTTCTGACACGCATGACATAGGTTCGCCATCACTGGCTTAGTATGTAGGGATCATACAACTGATTCACTATCAGTATTTGAGTTCTTATGAAACAGCATATTCTTTCCAAGTCTGTTAACATATTGGGGTAATGTCCAGATCTTAGTGGCCGCAGTGTTCTTCCAGGGCCTAATTCTGTTTTGCATATGCTAGATACTCAGGAAATACCCATTCAATGAATGTTTGCTTTGCAATGGCTATTTCCTTGTTCATTCTGCATTATTGATAGCCTACTCTTGTGGGTACTGTGGTCTTGGAACAGGGCCCAGTACTCTTTTCTTCAAATATTCCTCGAATGATTTGTGTGCCAGGGACTGTGCAGGCTGC